CTTTCAAATATCTGGGAACCATAATTGAAAACCTATGCATGAGGCCACAAAGGGTGGAAATAAGGAAAGATTGCCTTAAAACTTTAAATGACTTTCAGAAATTATTAGGGGACATTAACTGGTCAAGACCTTATCTGAAAATCTCTACAGGAGAAATGATAAATTTATTTAATATACTTAGGGGTGAATCTAACCTTTCCTCACCTCAAACATTAACAGATGAAGCTAGAGAGGAGTTGCTAAGAATTGAGCAGGCAATCTCCTCAGCCCAATTAGCACGGATACAGCCTGAATTGCCTTTATTGGGACTGATTAACCATACTGCAAATAGTTCCACAGGAGTCATCTTCCAGAATAAAAACTCTCCCGCTATTATTGAATGGGTCCACCTAGGGCAGTGGTTCTCAACCTTCTGGCCCTTTAAATACAGTTCCTCATGTTGTGACCCAACCATAAAATTATTTTCGTTGCTACTTCATAACTGTAATGTTGCTACTGTTACGAATCGTAATGTAAATATCTGATATGCAGGATGGTCTTAGGCGACCCCTGTGAAAGGGTCGTTCGACCACCAAAGGGGTCTCGACCCACAGGTTGAGAACGGCTGGTATAGACATACTTGGCCCTGGTTTTGGTGGCCTTCACATTTGGTCCATTTAGTCCTGTGTTAGTAACACACTGTTACAATTATGTTAGTTTTATAAAACCTTTTAACATAAGAGGACCAACTCCATTCTCATTGTACTTTAAGTAATTTTTCTGACTGTTCTAGGTTGTTTATTCTATCATAAGACCTCCTAATGAGGTCCTCCAGCCTCACTCTGTTTTGGAACTGAGTCTTTGGAGAACTCACATCCCTCTCATCCTCTTCTTATCCTGTCAGGCCTCTGTGGCCAGGGCCAGGCATCCTGGGCTTGCTCAAAGCCCAGGAGCATTTGTACCATCCCCTTCCTGCCCTGATCCAGCCCTCTGATCACAGAATGCATTCCCTTGGCCTGAAGTTGTCATCTGACCTTTGACCTTGGTCTGACCCCAGCCACTTACATGTGAAATGAAGCATTAGGGAATTAATAAAAGTGCAGAGGCTGGCAGTGGGGTCACAGTGCTATTTCCTTAGGTCAATGGACCTGGAAATGTCTTGAAAACACTTTATTCTACCATACAAACAGGCTTACAAATAGGAATTCAGGATTTCATTCACTTAACTCTTTCATTTTTTCACTCTATCTTCTTACTAAACAAATATGAAAGTACCATTTTGCTCAGGTAGGGAGGGCCCTTGTGAGTCCCTCTGTGGCTCAAGGTTGTTTGAGTCAGGCAGCCCGAGAGAGACTATATTGCTTAGGTAACTGAAAGTCAAGTAGGTTAGTATTCAAAATTTATGCAGTAAAGATGGGCTACATATGCTGCAGTGACTAACTCCAAATCTCACTCAAGGTCCAGGTAGATCCATCCAAGTGATCTTCAAGAGCAGCTATTTTCCCTGCATTTGCTCAGGTTTCGGGAATGCCCAGTTACACAGCATGTTATAAGCACCAATGCTGCTGAACCCACCTTGGAAGCGGAGAAAAGGGCGTTTCAGACGGTGCAACTGCCCTTATCTGCTTCTACCCAGAAGCGACACAGGTCACAGGCCAGCCTTCATAAGGTCTCTTGTATTGAAATATTCACAGACACACAAAAGCAACAACAGTAAAGCCTATGATAAGACACCTGCTATTGGCCATAAGGGGGCCTAATAGACACAGCGTGGACAATAATAAGTGTCTTGGTCTCTGAGTAGCTTCTTGATCCCACAAAGAGATGGCTTTCCTCTATTCTCCTGGTTAAAAGGTTTTACAAATATCCACTCATTTCAAATCTTCCTGTTGAGCGCCTCTATTGTGTGCAGGAACACAGTTCTTCAGCTTATCTCTCATATCAGGGCTGTTCAGGGCTTATAGCATCTATGAGGGTATGATGAGGTGCCTGGATAGATATTTAGCTTATAAATATGTTGTCCCCTCTAGTAGATACCTGGGTTCTTGGCTCTAGTATATAAACACCGGTAGCTTGAAAAGGTCAAGCACACCATTAAGCTTGAATTAAGGATATCCAGAAGATAACAGTGATTGAGAATGCCCCGAACTTCAGCAACTCAGTTCTTGGTGTTTTATACCGAGGGAATACAGGACAAACATCAGTTCATGATGGGAAGTGGGTTGGTTGAGAAACAGGAGGGTTGAAAACCAGGAGGTGATCTGAGAATACACTACTGAACTGAGCAGGGGCTTCCCCATGGAGCTGCTGTCCTCCCACGTGGAAGGACCCCAGGCTGCTCCCAAGATGTCACCTGTCACTGTGAGGGTCATAGCATCTCCTGAGAGGTCAGAGTCACGCAGTCCTGGCTTCACTTGGCACCCAGGCTACTACACTAGGGACCAAGCCTACTATGGGTGGGGCAGGGCTAATGCTGGTTAATGCCCGTTTTCACCTCTGCCCTGAATGTGAGTGTAGGAGAGGTCTCTGTTCTAAGAAAGGGTTAAAACCTGAATTTCTGAAATACTTGCCTTAGTCCATGGCTTTCGTCAGGCTGTGTCTACAGAATCCAAATGACCCTCCTTACTTGTTCTCTGTGCTGGAGAGCAAACCAGACCCCATGCTGAGGGGGATCTAAAGCTTCTCCTAGGGCAGTGATGGTGAACCTATGACACGTGTGTCAGAGGTGACACGTGAACTCATTTTTTTGGTTGATTTTTCTTTGTTAAATGGCATTTGAATATATAAAATAAATATCAAAAATATAAATCTTTGTTTTACTATGGTTGCAAATATCAAAAAATTTCTATATATGACATGGCACCAGAGTTTAGGTTTTTCAAAATGCTGACACGCCAAGCTCAAAAGGTTCACCATCACTGTACTAGGGCTTGGGGTCTCCATATTCCTGGCCTTCAACCCCACAGGACAGTTCTTTTCTTCCTATTGAGTCAGTTATGCCATTTCCCTCCACTCTTGTCAAAGAAATAGGTTGCCTTACGTGCTGGGATGGGAAGTGGTCACTTTTAGAGGGACTGCCAGACCACCATGACCTTCCATGGGTACCATTGACCATACTGTGCTGTGTGGTCCACCCCCAGGCCTAGTCTATTGGGCCAGATGCGGCATCTGAGACAGGCAGATTCACTTCCACAGGAATTTTGACCTGATATCCAGCCAGAGTTTCTGATCTCTGTGTGACACATGACTCTGTGCTTGGGCAGCTGAGAGCCTGAAGCAGAAGAAGGTGGTGGGAGAAGGAGGAAGAGAGGCGAGGATGCACAGAGGCAGAAGCAGGGAGACCGCACAGCGCTGCTTGTGCACCGCAGTCCTTGAGCCACCTCAGAGCTCTTCATTCTTAGAAAAAATGCCTCCTTGGAATTTTCCCTTTTTATTTGCAATGAAATACCTTTCTAAGCTTCCTGGCGGGTGGTATCTAGTTGTCACTTCTGAATTGAAGACTATTTGCTCCCTGTTGCATAACTGACATATTTCAGAAGCTGCCAGGACTTGGGGCTTTTTTTTTCAGTAACAGGAAAAAGGTCTCAGCAGAGAGACTGAGCTGTGTGCTGTTGGGAGGTGTGGTTTTTGTTTTCCTCTCTTTTTTTAACCTATCAATAATCACTTTATTTGAATGATTTTTCATTTTTAAATTATAGGTGACATACTGTGTTATATTAACTTCAGGTGTACATCCCAGTGATTAGTCATTACATAACTGACTAAGTGATCATCCCGATCAAACTCCTACCCATCTGACACCACGGTTATTAGATGTGGCTTTTTGCTTTCAGACCTGCTGTCCTACATCTGAGGTGTGGCTGTGAGTGGTGGGAAGAGGGGTGTGGCCTCCGGTCCCTGGGAACAAAGGAAGCCTGGTTTCCTGTCTTGTTGCCTCTCCTATGAGCCTGTGCTTCATCCAGGTGTCCTTCCAATTTCTTAAGCACAAGTGTCATTAAAATCAACTGGTATACAGAGGCCTTTGGC